GAGCGGTTTTTGTGAAAGTGGTTTTTTTTCTGAAAAAAATGAATCCAGACTAGTTTCACTTTTGAAAGATCCACTTTCGAAAGTGAGATCAGAAAAAGATATGCAAATTCCCACGGCATATTCTCTATTGAAAATAGAATGTAGTCTAGAGATAGCCTTGATGGAAAACTTCAGGAGACACAAAGGGTATGTCTAGATTACATGCCTCTGATGACAAAGGCATGTAAAATAGGCTACCTGACCTAGTCAGGATTTAAATATCCCCGGCTTCATTAAAATAAAAATGGCTGCCGTGCTGTGCCGGCTCAGCTGATCGTCGACACAGCGTGGCAGTCAAGACGTGGATTGGACGACAAGGGAAGCCTTTGTCAACTGCTCCGTTATGCCTCATGAAATGAGATTTACAGGAGTGGTCGACAAAGGCTTCCCTTGTCAACGGATCTGCGTTTTGACTGCTGCGCTATGCCGACGATCAGCTGAGCCGGCACAGCGCCATGGCCACTTTTATTTTAATGAAGCTGGGGATATTTAAATCTTGGCTTCATTGACTATGTCGGGTAGCCTATTTTACATGCCTCTGTCGGAAGAGGCATGTAATCTAGACATACCCAAAGGTGGCTTTATATCACCATGGCCGTTTCATGATCCTGAGGGTCAGACCATCTTTTAGCACAATTTAGAACAGCGTCAGGGTGAGATTCTAACTAACAAACTAGGAAAGACTCTGTTCATGGTCCTGAATTCCTTTAGCAGATACCTTAATTTTTATTGTTGTTTGCTCTTTATTTCTGCATTTGTATTTAAGGTGAAGTTTGATTAATTTCAGTGAAGGGTAGAAGCAATTAGATCAGTGGATGCTTTTATCTTGTTTAAATGGCATTTTAATGTTTCATGATTTTTCAGAGTGACAGTTTTTTTATGAGCTAGTCTGCAAGAGTGGTAGCTGTTTAGCTGTGTGTCAGAGCAGCTCTAACTCTTCACTCCCATTGAGTGGCAAGGCAGGTTATTTAAGAAATAAGGGGAACTTTGCAAAATCACTTTATGAAAAGCTTGATTTGGTCTTTTTTCATTTAATAATGTAGGCCTTGTATTTTAAGTGTGTTATGCTCTTGTATATCCATTAGTGATGTGCAGGAATCTGAAAACATCTATTCACAAGAATGGAAAAACAAGAATTGTGTGTGTGTGGTTGGGAAGTTAACAGAGAATTTTAGTTCTTACCTTTTGTGAAAAAAATGCAAATCTACAAAGTAGAACCACATTTATCTGAACCTCCACATCTATCTCTCTGTATTAACTATGCCACTAGTGGCAGGTACTGATTCTGTTAATACAAAGTGCCAGAGGCTCCAATAAACAGTGCTTTACCGTATATCTAGAAAACCTTGTGCTCAACTGATACCTGTATTTATTGTGGCTAGGGAAACTTAAGTTCAGCATTTCATTTTTATCATGGAAAAATTCAGATATTTTTTGTTGATTAGATAATTTTTTTTTTTAATCACAGAAACTAAGGTCTCTAATGATGTCCTACTATTGAGGAAATCCAAGTAGAAAGTTGTGGCATTGCTCTGAAAGTTCTATGCTGGTATTCTGTGTGTTTCAAATCTGAAAAAGCACTGAGTAAACGACACTAGTTTCTCAATGAAGCATTTTCATGATGGCCCCAGCACAAAAGGCTATAGATCTTAGGAAGAATAAACAAACAACATAGATGGTAGGAAAACCAGGAATTTCAGCTAAAGGGAGACAGTTTTTCCAGAGGACTGAGCAGAAAAGGTATTATTTCTTCCTCCCCAGCGGAAGCCCCTTGTGCATTTTTAAGACATTGTGATTGTTTGGTGGGCAGTGTCCCCTCTAATTTCTTCTATGTGTGGATAACCAATGTTACATGCACTGAGTAGTGTGGATGTGCACCACCAATAAAAACACATGCTGCTGGCTGTGAGTGACTGTGGGCGCTCTTCTAATCAGATGGGTGTCACCCTCATGCACCATGTAGGGAATGGTGCATGCCTTGTCCAGGACAGCAGAGGAGGCTTTTGTTTATCATCAGTTTTTTTCCTCAAAGGAGTAGGTAGACAGCATTGTTTTCCTTTTGTATGCTCTTCTTTTTGCCACCTTATCATGTGCAGCTGAAAACCAATGGGTACATAAGATAAAGGATACTTTTGTGGAGTAGTGTAAAGGAATTGTCTCTCCAAGCAAATACCCCAGCCCTGTGCAGATATATTGAGTGTCGCAGAATTACCTTCCTCATGAATTTTGGAACTCTGTACATTTGCTAGGCTTTGTCTCCATGTCCTTTCTGAGAGGGAATAAATTGCCTTGCCTTTTCCACAAAAAGCTGATTAGCAACGTAGGCTTCAGTTCGAAACTAATACATTTCCTTCTTAGGTAAGACAAGATCTGGACAAAGATTTTTGTATACTGGAACTTTTAATACTTTTGGGGGGAAATGGTGATAAACCTACTTATTGCCTCCTCCCCTCTCCGCACTAAACAGTAGGAACAGGAGACTGATTCCCCTGTTGTTTAGGTTCTTGTCACATTCTTTGGAATTGTTCTCAAATACCCAGTTGCAGAGAATATTTTATCTGCATTGTTCTCCTCTTCATTGGCTATATTGGAACGATCCTCCATTCTAATGGCTGAGAAGGCTTATGGACTGCTTGGACTTTTTTTTCCTCATGAAGGCTCCATTGTCAGTAGCATTTACTGTGTAACAAAGAACCAGTATCTTTCTCCTGCATTGCCTTTCCCACTACTGTTTTGCTGATGTGATGTTCAGGCTCCTTCCTCTCTGTATGCATCACCCTTGCCACTCTCATTCCATCTACTTACTATTCTTTTCCTGTTTGTTCATGTTTTCACAGGAATCCTGGAGAACACAAATCAAATTGCAAACATTGGTAGAAATCATAAAAGCTACTATAAAATTTGTGCAAACAGCCTTCCTGGAGTGTTTCTTGCTAGCATTTAAGACAGTAGTGCTGCTGCATATCAGTCATGTTCTTCAGCATGTTGATGCCAGAGTCTCTTTGTTGTAAACCAGCCCTTCAGCAAGACAATCTTTGCCACAATCGAACTGTAAATGGCGCAATGAGCACTGCATAGCTTGATGAAGTGAGCAGGAGCTAACATGACTACATAAGCATAGTAATTTGACTGCTTAATTAGGGATATGGTTTACATAGTTGCAGATCAGCCTTCCTTGCATCTGGGCTATCAGTTTCACATCCATTGATATTTGAGATGGTCTCAAAAGGTCTTTCTGTAGATTACCTGATGCATGACCCATGACTTCTGTTTTGCTTTTGTATGTTTTGTATTTTATTGCAGGATTTCATATGTGCCATCAGAGCATTTGGAAGAGTACAAAGCCAGTTTGGGACAGCAACCAGAGGAAACACTGCCACTCAGTCTCTTTTCTGCACATACTGCAAGGTGAATCAATATGTTCTCCTATTACCCTACAGCAAAGGCTCTTTACTTTAATTCTTCCCATCAATGGACAGCAGTATTGCAGACTTCTGCTCGTAGACAATTTTTTATGGGATGGGAAAAATGATAACATTTTTTCTTTATCTTCGTGGTGAAATGTCAAATAGATTTTTGTTCCGAGCTAGCAGTTTTCCATGACATTTTTGGGTGGGTGGGGGTGTGTGTGTGTGAGAGAGTGAAAAGAGGTGACTATACACTATTTAAAAATCTGTCCTAATTAACTTCATTCTTTTCTGGCTTTTTCTAGGCCTGTCACTGAATACAATGGTGTTTCTGTAAACACTGGTTGGGACTAATCTTAATTAATTCATTTTTTCAACAGCAGAATACTGAAAAAATATTGATATTACAACATTATCAGATTTGTGAGACAATGAGAATATTTTGTGAAATCAGGCAGTTGTATGGGGTGATGATGGGATTTTTTTACATAAAAATTCAAATATGTCTTGTCAGTTGTAGTCTTCCAGAATTTGAAAATAGCATTTCTGTTCATTTAGAATGTATGTTGCAACAATGAACTGTGAATTTCCAGCAGCAGAATAAACTGTTCTCTGCATTCTCTTTGGCCTCAGAATATCATTAGAGTTATTGACAGCTTTTAAAAAATTGATGTATATTGTGTACCTCCATTTCAGCTTAGGACATTTTAAAAAAAACTGATTTTCAGAGAGGGAAAAAGAGAAATTGCAGAGGGTTTTAAGTTGGGCACCAAAAATAACTACTCACTTTTGAAAATCATAACTGTTATTATTTTTCCTTTAGAAACAAAACTCTTAAATTTTGGGTCCTCTCCCATTCAGAAATGCAGTGTATTCTATTCTGTTTGTCATTTGGCGAAAGTTTAATTGCAGAGGAAGAAAGGAGAATTCCTAAACACAGCATAGATTATATCAGAAGTTTATTGTGAGGGTGGCGACTTCAGATATTTTACAGCTGTTGCCATAAAATGTTAAATCTTTCTTACTATATAAGGGGAACACTTAGAAGTGAGCTAGGTATTGGAGCACTTTTTACTCACTGTTTTCACGTGTAAAAGCAAGTCTGTCTCCATCATCTGTAAGAAATTCTAATTCTCACAGTTTGATCTGTTAGATGACAATGAACATGAGTGATTTTTATTAGGATTTTAAAAGTACATTGTGTGTCTTTCTTTATTAGTAGAGAAATTCCAGAACTACCTGAACGTGAAGAGGGGGAGGGAGAAGAAAGTGAACTTCAGAATGCAGCTTACAGTCACTGGAACCAGCCTAGACGGTGATTATGGATTCCTAGTTGAATGACACTTTCATAAATGCCAATGTATTGCAATTGGAACTATAGTGGATTTTTTTCATATAATTTAAAGTAAATAATGAAGCAGTCAAAATAGCACAGTGTTCTATCTGTGCGCTGCACAAATAGGGCATATTTATTTTTACTGCAGTCAGCCTAAATCCCTGTGATCCAACTTGTGTGCAGAGTGCCCAGGCAGATTAGTTTTAAATTTAATTTGCACCAATCAGCCTAAACCAGGGGACTACAAAATTAAATCCTCACGTAAATGAGTGGGATGATTTCCAAACTCTTGGTAGTATCCTTCTGATTATAAGAATGTGTTATTTCGCACATTGATAAAAGGGTTAAGTAGAAATGGAAATGGAGCAGACAAAGATTAGCACTAAATAGATGTTTTTATGCATTTCTGTGACAGTGGAATGGGAATGCCAAAAAAAATTAAGGAAGATTTTTTTTCCTCAGGTATGTTCTATAGACTCATGCAAATAAGAGCCTTTTGGAATTTATAGGCAAGAGGATGTGATGTAAATAGAACACATTCCTTATGGTTTTTGTCATTGTAGGGTTGAGCTTTGGAGAGAACCTAGCAAGTCACTGGGAATCAGCATCGTCGGTGGACGAGGGATGGGGAGTCGGCTGAGCAATGGTGAAGTGATGAGGGGAATCTTTATCAAACACATTCTGGAAGACAGCCCTGCTGGCAAAAATGGAACATTAAAAACTGGAGATAGAATAGTGGAGGTACCATTCAAACTTATAATGTGTTTTCGTTTTTCCCATGTATATAAATCAACCTTGCAAATGTCTACTTGTGGACATAATTTTGTTATGGCAAAAAAAGAGATCATGATTTTTTTCCCCCTTATCAGTCATTGTGATAAAGGGATAGCAAGCAGATTTTGTGCATACAAAACACAGTGCCTATGTAGCGTATTTTTTATTTAAATATTTCTGAATATAGCCCTCCCACAAAGTAATGTAGATAGCACTATAATTAGTGCACCTCTCTAATATCTCCACTGCTGGCAGCCCTTTTACCATGTGGTATACCACACGTAATTGGTACATTATAACCATTGTCCTACCATGCATGTGGTTTACATGCAAAGGACTTTAGGCTTACACACAGTCTCAAGTATACACAGTCTTCAGAATAACACAGGGATGCACGAGATCCAGGATACTAGTCCTCACCCTTTTGATCAGCTTATTTAGGAGAGATATCACCATGTTTCATGGAGCTGAATTAGGTATTTACAGAGAGAGAACTCCTGCAAATAGACATCCAACTTAACTACATGTTAGAGCTTATCCAGCTCCTATCTTTCCTCTCCACCTATGCTCTACATCTGAGTGGGAATACATAAAGGTCTGCTTAGCTGCTAATAAGGAAATTGGGTCGTGGTTAAATCCAAACTTGAAGCCACATAAAGATGTCTTTCTCATGATCACTGATCCCCTTTTTGCCATTTCTGCAGAGGCGGCACCTTCACCCTTGTTGACTTTTGGAGCAAATTTGGCAGCCAGAATTAAACAAATTCTTTATAAAACTGTTCTTTAGGGGGCTGACAGTGGGTCCATTAATAACTTGCTCCATATGTTAGATTGCCAGGGAATGAATTGTTCTTTATACTGTCTAGTATTGTTCCCTGGACTCTGGCTGCTATTCATTAAGTACATGGCATCTCAGATTGCAGTGTCTGAAATTCTGCATCTGTATCTGGCTGGGTCTAGCTGGGTAATGTGTAAATTGGAATGGCATGGCTGCTGTTGCTACCCAGGACAAAGTATAGGACATATATGCAAGGCATCAGAATAGCTTCTCCAATGAGCAGCCAGAAGGGACTGCAGAGCTTCCATTGGCCGACAGATATGAAGATGTAATTTGGGCTGTATAATCACTTGCATAATAAAAAGATTAAAGCTTCATCCAGGCACTCAGATGACCTCCTATCTAAACACTGGGCATTGGTTTTATATGTTAGTGCAAATAGTCATGTATTCAGAAATGCTTAGAGAGGGCCTACATATTTTGATCTGTCTCTGGTGTAATGAAGACATTGGTTTAATATCAAGGATGAGAACTGCTTATTCTTTGAGAATGGCTATACATGCTATTAATGGTCACTAAAAGTGGTCCATTGGGTTTTAATGAACATACAGACTATCCCAGAAAATGAAACTTCCAGAAGTGGATATGAGAGAATGCATATATTAAATAGATGACAATATACAGAGTGATGTGCTTGTGTCCGCATGTATGTATGGATGTGTATGTATAGTTTTCCTTTCTCATTCAGTAACATATCATGACTTTGCAGTCTAGTTAGCACTTGCCACTACTTCGTTCACTGGGAAGTTTTGAGTTGTAACAATACTGTCTTTTTCCTAATAGATTTAGAATCTCCTGTCTTAAATTATTTTCTTTCTCTGATGTCTCAGATACGCTATGAAATTAAAGCGGCAGAAGTAATTCTCACTATATGGCTTTTTATGCAACTACCACTAACAAATAATCCTTGTATTTTGGCTTCTAGCTATTATCATGATCATTATGAATATGCTTTTCTAATGCTAATGTTGCCATAACATAGATATTCCTTGGATACAAAGATAAACTTTTTTTTAATAAACACATCAGTACATGTTCTACACACAGGGAGAGAACGTTACATCTTAAAGAATTGTTCTTAGTCATCATTTGTAAATATTCTGTTTAGAGAGGAAGAAAATTTATCAACTCTGAGTTAGTGCATAGCGTATTTGTGGATTTTAAATTTTGCATCCCTCCTAGTGATATCGCAGTGCCATCTAGATAAGCTCTTAGATACCTTTTGAAAATCTAGTTTATATTTTCTTGGTACCCAAGGACCTGATTCACAAGATGTTGAAATCAACAGGTACCATTTTCCTGAATGCAGAAGCCGTAAATGAGGATCCAAAATAAAAACCTAGAAATTGCTTCATTATACTTTAAACTTTGTGCAATGTTAAGCTGAGGTCTTCCAATTTTCAGGTGGATGGAATTGACCTCAGAGACGCAAGCCATGAACAAGCTGTGGAAGCCATACGGAAGGCAGGCAACCCTGTAGTCTTTATGGTACAGAGCATTATAAACAGACCAAGGGTAAGCATCTAAAATGTGAAAAGGGACAAAAATAGTGATAGTTTAAATAAATGTCCAAGGTGGTGGTGTTTGGGAAGAGGATATTTAATCCATTGGTTCCATCTCAGTCAGAGCCTTATAGGAATGATGATTTGTTTTAAATATTTTTCTATTTAGAGTGAAACTGATTTGAAATTGGAATTTACTTAGAGTATGCTCACTTCAAAGTGATTTTTTTTGCTGAGGGGAAGAGAGAGCCTCACTAAAATCAAGCTTTAGAGATTGATATTGTGTCCAAGTGCATGAAAAATATATAGCGACAATTGTTATAGTCATTGGGCATTAACGAAAGGATCTAGCATTACACAGAGAGAATTTTTCCTTCATTATGCTGCATGGACAATGCAAACACTAGCTAATAAGCTTTAAAATAGTAGCCTGCTTCATCTGAAACTAAACTTCCTCATTGTAGATTCTATATAATCTGCATGTTTATTTACTAGTGGTCTCATAACTTTTGTTTCCCAGCCAGAATCTCTCAATAGCTCTTCATCAACCTCTGCTCTCAGTGGGCAGAAACCTACTAACCCATTTTACTACCAGTCATCTCAGGTAAAGTTGCATGGAATAGTTTTAGTGAATGTTGGTTATTGATACTCAGGCTTTAAAGCGAGGATTGTGCATTTGCTATGATATGGGCAAGATTTATATTGTTTCATGAATGTTTAGGATGAGAATGATGCTTTTACTTTATCACAGATGAGTTTTTGTGTTTATATGAGTGTTCCTTCAGGAATTTTTAAAATTGTATAATTCTTTTGTTTTTTTAAGCAGTAACTAACTTCACCATACTTAAAAATTATTTATTAAAATATCCATACTTTTGTATGTAAGGCATTTTATTTTCACTGTACACATGCTTTGTGGTACAGTTTTTAAAACAACATTTTTTACAATCTTAATCATTTGAAACTGACATCTGTGTTTATATACAGTAAGAACTTGTAAGGGAATTTCCAGTTGTCATTCATGTGTGCTCATCCAGACAGCTAGCTGCATGCAGACAATAACAATTTTCAGTATGGTGTGACAACACATCTACTAAAAATGAGTATTCCAAAAGGGTGAGATTTTCCACTGTTATATTCTTCAAGATAATGTACATGGAGATGCCCTGAGATTAGAGTGTGGCCCAGATAATATGAATGGGCTATTTTGTCTGCTAGGAACAAATTTAGTAGTTCTTGATTCAAGCAATTATGCACCACATCTGTGATACAGGAAGACTCTGTTTATTTTTAAATAAGAAATTCTAATTGAGATGAGCATATCTTGAGCAACATTGCATGGCTGCATCCTTATACATTTTTGAAAGCTTTGTTTGGTCAGGTAACTAAATATTTTATGTTTGTGGTTCCTTTGGTTGTGCAATGTACAAGTGTGCTTTCTTGCATGATGGTATTATTGACAACAGGGTTTTTTAAATTATATGAAATGGAAATTAATTCCCTAAACAGTGCTCTTGAATAGCCTCAGTAACTTCAACGTAATGTCACGGGGTAAAATTTAGGGCAGTCAAATGTTTTTTAGTTGATATATCATTATGTCAGAAATACCTGAGGCAAAAATATGAATGGTTGGAGATTGATTTTCTGTATTAATTCTAGAGTTTGATTATTTACGCAAAAATTAGGTTATGCTAATTTAATTTATAAACTCTCCATCAAGATCATTTAAGCTCTTATGCAGGTGGCAATGGTTAGCTAGGAACATTAATTTGCAAATCGTATTTACAAGACAACCTCTGATCTGTATTCCATGTGCACATAGAGAAAATTTTCTGTCAAGTTTGTGAGTGGCATTGCCAAAATGGATCACTTATCTTAACATCGCTCTGTCCTTTGAACTATACAGATACTGTAGGTTCAAGAAATGTTGCATTGTCAAATTAGATCAATTTTTTGGGTGAAGTGATGCCTGAATATGAACAATGAATTTTCTAGTTTTAAATGTGTTTGAAAAACAACAACAAATATTTTGTGTGGTTCAGAGATGTCTTTTAATATAAAGGGCTTTTCTATATAGAACAATTGTGCATGCTGCAAGTACATCTGGGGCTGATGAGAGTCTTTGCTGGGCCTGGAGGAAGCCAGCACCAGGCCTGACGGAAGGGGTAGGGCTGGGGACTTACCTACCTTAGCCATCCCTTCCGTGTCACAGGGGCACAAATTAAAGGGTCCAGGACTTGCTTCCTAAGTAGCAGTGAGTTGGGAACAACAGGCCCTTTAAATCATTGTGCCCCCAGGGAGCTACCCTCTTTTGTCAGTGGTCCTGGTACATTAGAGGATTCCAGGGACATTTGGAGCCTGCTGGTAAACCGCATATGGACTATTGAATGCACAACAGAAGATATCCCTCTGTAAGATTCATTACTCCACTGTGCACTTAAGCCCAGGGAATAGTGATTTTGATGTTGTCTTCTCACTGAAAATTTTTACACTGTTTATCATTGTTCCTTTATCAGTGCTAAAATTTCTACTTCTCCAGTATTTAAGCATGTCTTCGTTATGTAACTATGGTACAAGAGGTATTCCTTTCTAAGAACTGTGCAGCCTGTTGTCCAACAGGGTTAGTAGGCTCATGGCTATAAAGAATTTTGATAGTATAGCCACCAGTACCCTTGTAGAAAGTATTTGCATGCACTTAAGATGCATTCCTATCTGCTATAGAACATCCGAGTGGTTGCCTCTTTCTTTTAAGTGAGTAATTTGTTTCAAACAGTTCTGGTCCTAAAATACCAGAATATCATTAGCGTAAAATAAAGCTTAAAAGTTTTGATGGTAAAATGTGATGAGAAAATGAAAGTAATTAGAATTCTTATGTTGTAAAGCCATAAACCAAATAAAGCTCACTTAGCTGTACATATTCAATGACAATGTGCTTTAATGAGATCCTGTGTAACTAAAATTTTTAATACAATATATCCTGATGCCCATTTATTAGTACACTGCTGTTTACTTGTCAAAATAAAAGCTCAAACTATATTTTGCATTACATTTTCCCCAACATGATTTTATGTTTGTTTCATTCCAGAATTTCAGAATTTGTTTCTAGGACATAAGTGTGATTAAGTGATATTTCACTGTCAATCATTGAAGCCTTTGGTTATCATCAGATGATAATCAAAGAAAGCAAATTTTTCATTGTTCTCACTCATGAAATTTGAAGACATTTAATATGTGTATGAAAGTGCATTTGTGCTATGTATACCAATCATTAAGTCCTTATTCAGCAAAAAAGTTGCCAGTGGGAATTTTACCCAAGTAAGAACCGTGAGGATTGGATCAACAGACTGTGAGGGAGATTTTTGGAAGTACAGATGTCACTTATTTGCTTAATTTCCATTGGCTTTCAGTGGGAGCAAGGTGCCTGATTGGCATTTGTGCCTTTAGAAATCCTCCCTATCTATAATAGTGGAAATGAACTACTTACTTCATACTTCCTTTAAAATGAGGGAAATGGACCATAACATGCAGAGAGGGTAAAACTGGTAGACAGTTGTTCTGTACATCATTTAATACAGGGCTGGGCCAGATGTGTCCTGCCTAACACTTTGAGCTGGCCCATGGACTGTATCTAGCCACATTCTACTTATATCCTGCTGCCTGTGCCACTGAATTTCCAAGTGGTAGTTCAAGCAGCAGGATCCTATTTAAATGGCTCCTGGCTCCTGGTCGCCATGCTACCTCAGCAAGGGCCAGAGCTGCGAGCCCTTTAAATATCTGCAGCAACCCCAGTTGGCTGTCAGGCAACACAGTAGCAGTGGAGCCAGGAGCCCTTTGTTGTGTTTTTAAATCAAAGCTTTCCACCAAAAGACAACTGTGTGGGGAAGCTAATTCCCAGTCTTGCCCCTTCTGGAGGGTGGAGCTGGCCTGTGGCCATGTACTAAATTTCATTAATTGGCTCCTTTGTGAAAATTATTGGCCACCCCTGCTTTACTGTCACTGATGTGTCTAGCCAAAGCAAATGTAAATTTGCAGTTTTACCTGCCTTCACTCACAAATGTCTATAGCATAGCATATGAAGTGGGGATTGTGTACTTAACACAAGGTATCTTGTGGATCTGTTCTGTAAACCACAAGGTTTTAGTTTGTCTACCTTATTTGTGTTTAGTTCCTTTTTGTTTTCTTTTTAGCTGCCTTTCATGCAGCACAACCTTTTCTATGGGCCTGCTACCTTCAGCAGCACTAATCCATTTGCTGATTCTCCTCAACTCAACACTAACAAGGTTTGATGCATCTGACTGTCTTTTACTGGTTCACCACATGCTATTTATGTGCTTCTGCGTCCTCGGTATTTTTACCACATTTGGGTAAAATACTGTGTTGCTGGGGATGGAAAATGTCCAATAAATGCAAATGTGTAGAAGGATTGTACAGATGCCACTTTGTAATCATAAACTGAGATATTCAGAGCCCCTTAGAAGAGTTTAGTAACTGAAAATCTCAGTCTAATGTGAAATAGCTTTACTTGAGGACAAAGGTATTTTATTACCAGTTGTTTGTATATCAGTCCATTCTCTGTATGTGTCTTGTTAGGAGTTTCCCATTTTATTTTTGCCATGAACAGTGTGTCAGTATCTCATATACTGTACCACCAGCAGGGTGCCAACAATTTTTGGAAATCTAGACAAGTTAGATTCTCCTCTTTGTGATTGATTGGTGCTAATGCAAGTGATGCATATCCAAGAAGAGACTAGACCTCTACTGGATCCCTGATTGCAGGCTAAATCCCAGCTGCATATACATTCATGAAGCCCTGATTTTGCACAGTCACTTGTAGCTGCTTATGCATCAGGGGGATAAATTCAATTATAAATCTGTGCTTCCTCAATTTTTGTATTTTTCCCTTAATCTCACAGCAGAATCTCCCAATGTATAAAGAGCATGGACTGTTTGTATAACTGCATATGCATGTTTTTGAAATCTGTATCCATGCTTATAGTTTGGAGATCAGGAGAATGGAAGTGTAATGGAGGTTATCACTTACAGTGTCTAATTATACCGTTATTACAAAGAAATTTCACGTTGCACATAAGTGCATGCAAAAAGCTAATGTTCTTACAAATATTAGAAAAGTCAAAGCACCTGCCACTGCCATCCCAACCCTACCTCTGAAGACAGCTTTTTACTATTTCTGCCAGATTTTTATGTAGGAAAAATATAAGGACCCGATTCGGTAAGATACCTTGCTGAATAGGGTTTATTAGGTCATGTAAGCAGGTTTGTCTATTTTAAAATAAAATGTGTGAATTTACTGTAGTTTATAAAATACACCTGTCACTTAAAAGTATTTGTACATTAATGTACATTGCTAATGTTAGATATTGTCAGAGATACTGTAATATATGGATTGCTGTTTTTTGATACTGTAGGATGTGCAGAATCCTCTTAGGGTTGCCTTCCATTGTTCCCCAACTAACCCTTTTGCCCCCACACCATTTAAGGTTTGTCTCTTTGTGAAAGATACAGTAACTTGTCTCTCACATCCTGTTTGTGTTGTGTTTATGCCTGCTTGTGCGTGGCCTATAATTTCAGAAAGTACTGAACTTCCTTCTAAATGTGCCTGCTATATTGAAAGTGATACTGCTGTCAATTTACTGCATTGTAAATACATGCTTGGTTGTGATCAGAGTCTCACGGGTAGCCAAAGGCTCCATGTGTTGTCAGATGTTTGAATTTCATTGTCATGAATAGAAATGTTTTAGCCTTTTGCATACGGCCCAATTCAGAGAACAGAAGTCTTGTGTGTAAATAAAAAGGTCCAGATTCTGTCCTCGGAAATGAATGCATAACTTCCAATGACTTTGGAAGACAGAATTTGGTGCTATATGTTTTTAAATTTTAGGTTAGGACATTATTTGTTTTAGTCTTTGCTTGCAGAGAAGGCTTTGAGCATTCATCTGTTTTCGTATCAGCATTGCTGAAACAGGTGCAGAGTTTATACATATATTTTGCAAGGTGAGAGGAAACATTCCTTGGTCATCAAAATATGGAACTTTTTGCTTTTTTTAATGATAAATTTACTGTAATTTCATTTGTACATACAGAAATGCACCTGTCTTTCCTGAGGTACTGGATAGCAAAGCCATCTTCTTGTTATCTTGATCACTGTATGCAGTATTCCAGCATTTTAGGCATTTTCACAAAGAACAGGACTAAAATTATTATTATTATTTTGAGGTACAAATTGTAAAATACACTTAATCAGTTCTTAGAAAAATAGAAAATTAAGGATCCAAGGGACCTCAGGAGGTCATCTGGTCCAATCTCCTACTCAAAGTAAATCATCCCAGGCAGAGCTTTTGTCAAGTCTGGCCTTATAAAGCTCTACAGATGGAGATTTCACGCCAATTGGGTCATGTCTTTCCCTCATCTTTGTGTAGACTCTCCTCTCCTGCAAAAATACCTTCATTAATTTAAATTATATGGATTCCAATGAATAAATAGGAAGGGCTTATTGAGTTTCTGGAAATCTGCTACCTTAAAGTAATATTTTGCTACTTACTCTTTTCAAATTAAAGAATATGCGTTTTAAGCATAAATGTACAGCATGAATGCTAAAGTGTGCTTTTGCTACCACCCAACTCTTGATTCTTAAATGTAGGAACTTCTTTGAAATAAGTGTCATACTCCCAGTGGATGGTTATGAAACATCACCCTCCCTGTTCCTATCAGCGTTTAGTTTTTCGGAGTTTTCCTACAATTTAGGTTCTGGTAAGTATCTCAGTTATCAAAGACTCATCTAAGAACCTGCATTATCCCTGGCATTCAGGATTTTCAGTAGGTTGCTTTGAACTTTCAGATGCCATCTGCACAATAATTTCAAAACAATTCAGATGTCTCAAATCAATTAAAACTTCAAATACTGGGAAGGTTGTGTATAGCAGTACTCACTTGTGTAAGATTGAGTCTTTTGCACACTTTTGTCTGCCATCAACATCTGTCTTGTTCCTTTAAGTGTATGCAATATGTGATGTGAAGGCATTTAAGGATACCATTTTAGACCCCAGTGATTTTGAGCTAACGTATATAAAGCCTTCTTTGTATTATTGCATGACTACTTAGTAAAGCTCCTGGGATGAAAGGGAAGAGAAGCTTGTACAAGTAACAGAGGAATTTGGGGGCTCAAATGAGTCATTAGTATTTTCTTTACATGTCTGGAGGGGGAGAGAAAGAAGATAGTTTGTTTCCTCTGGACAATAGGGATACGTGCAAGTAGTCGAGTAGTCATCTACCCAATAAGCTTAAGCTTATCAGGTATTCGAGTCGACTACTTGCATTTTGCCCCCGCCTGCCCTTCTGCACTGCTGCCTCTAGCTCCAGCAGCAGCCACACCCCACTGGGACCATCCCCCACTGGACAGTCGCTCTTGGACCTGGCTCAGGCAGGGACTGAGCAAGCCTGGCTCAGTCACGGCTCATACTAGTTCCAAGAGTTATCACTGCTATGGCTCTTCAGTTTAAATTTAGTGAGAGCTGGCAGGCAGGTACCCCGGCTCCTACTACATTTAAACTGCAGAGCCGCAGCAGGGGCTAAGTCTCAGAGGCTTCCTCCCTTATTGACTAATTGTGTAGTCAATAGAAATCCTATCGACTACACAATTAGGTATTTACTCGCTTCCTAACTTCCCTACTAGACAACTGCATTTTTCTCAAATCTTCGTAAGAACAAGTAAGTAGATTTTTAGTCTTTTCATGTAAAAATACAATATCTAAGTGTACACTGATGGATTGTAATCTTTGAAATCCTTCGGTGGCAGATATAATTTTAATTATCATTAATAATTATAATATAATTTTAATTCAGCATGACTATGAAGATGTATTCAGATTTTGATCCCTTCGCAACACCATCTGTAATATTATTGTCTCTCACTTTCCACTGTAATCAGAACCCGAAGTTGAAGTGAAGAAGCTAGGAAAAGTCTATATAGTACCTGCAATTTTCAGTTCTCCAATATGGTCCTGTTTTTCATAGAATACTCTGTTAGTTATTGATTCTTAACACCTGAGTTATCAATTACCAAGCCCTCATGTTCCAATTTGGCCTTTGATTTACAATTGATCGCTATACCAAATACAAAAATAGGAATCAGGGTAACAAGATTGATCTAGATCATACGGTTCTTGATTCCATTTCCATCAAGCAATTTGATTTTGGAATGGGAGTTTTGCCAGACTAAGAAATTGAGGATTTGACCAACAATTGCAGTAGTAATTTGTGTGCATGTAGTTCTGTATTTTATTTTTAATAGAAATGAATCAGAAGAACAAGAATAGGGCTTTTTTTTCTCCTTTTTGACATATGTTATATAGAAGACCTGTAATGGACTCAGAGTAAGGTATTCTTCAGTTCTTTATTACATGTTGTGGGTTTTATTACATAGGGCATTCCACCAACATTTCAACTAATTATTCTTTGTACAAAAAATTTACAAAGCTACCTTAACTCCATTCTCTATTTCTCCCATGTTTGAATAGATACAAAATTATAGTAGAAGAAATTTAGTGACTCATTTTTTCCTTTAGATAAAAAAAGAAAATGTGTGCAAATTTGATATTAAGAATCATTTCAGTTTTCACACAAAGCTGTTTCTCGAGCAGAAAACAAGACAAAAAACTTCACTGAATTCGGCTTCTAATTTTCAGTTCTGTTTGCTTAAAAATTACATTTGAAGTTTTACTCTTCCTTGCCCAACGTTTTTTACATCTTTGATCTCTTGATGCCTCTCTGTGGTATGTACTTCGTTTGGAATTCCTGTTGCTTGGTATTTAAATTTCAAAGCCATAGTCAGTGCTGTTTTGATATTTTCACATAACAGGTTGCCTTGCTCAAGCATCTGATATACTTAGCCACTGCATTTTTTTTGCTTTTCACAGGCATCCAGTCAGTCAGATTCAGAACTAGAGAAGACTTCATTTAGTAACTTACCACTGCCCCCTCCTTCAGCATTTTCAGGAATGAGCTGTGAAACTGCACAGTCATCTTCCAACAAAATTGAAGAGGGTGTGGGAGGAGATGATGATGATGATGATGAGTTTGGTTACAGCTGGAGTAAGTATGTTTTGTTTTGGTTTTGTTTTTGTTTTAAATGCTCAGCATTGAAATATCAGTGATGTGGAGGATGTTGGGGCTCAAGTTGAACTCTTTCATTTTCATCTATTGAGTAGTCTGGGTATAAAATATTACTTTCAGCTTTCACTTTTGCTTGGATAGCTGCACATTCTTGAAACACAAAATCATTTGCCCTCATTCTGTGCGTTCCGTTTCAGTGGTAGTCCTGGTAAATGTACCCTGCACATAATTAACTAATTTCAAAGCAGTCACCAATTTTAATGTTTGGATCCGTTTCGGTGTTTGTCACTTATGGTAACAGCATGTACAGTTTTTATCTGAATGTAATCTCACCTGCAGTTTAAATAGGTGTGTGAGTGCGCAGACGTGGGGAGTAGTACTTTTAGGAGGGTTTAAAAACATAGAATTATAGAAATGTTGGAATGTAAAGGATCACAAGAGGTCATCTATCTGCACTAGGAAATTATTTCAAAATAAGAAGTCTCTAAATAACTATTTTGAAATAGCATGTCTACCCTG